TTAAATTGAAAAGGCAGGCAACAAAAATATTGCAATTGAATTGCCGACCAAAAACCTTTTGTATGCATTTTATCAGCCTGCGGTTGCCATTGATACTCCAACCGCGGCTGGAAAGTTTTCTTGTTTATTTTTTTTTTTGTTGTTTAGCATTTGCACAGTAACCTTTGGCAAAATAGTATTTACATCTTTTAGCTTTGTACCGCTGCTTTAATGGGATCTAGTCTCTTATCTCTTTTTTGTAGATTTGTTAATGAAATTCGATATGGGGTCCTGCATCAAATTACTTTAACAAAGCTAAAAAGGTTATGTGCGTCAGTATATCTACAAAGTTTCTATTTATATGGAAATTGCATAGCAGAATATTTCGATTGACAAAGCATTTATAAGGCTCAGAGAAAATCTGGATAGCCATAATAACAAAAATAGCTGTAAATATGTTCTCAGATTTATTAAAATTTTAGTCACAACTTGTTTTATTTGTATAGTTCTCAAGCTGTTATTGAAATATTGATTTCAAGTTCGTTGCCTAAGTCTTTTGAATTGCGTTATCGAGTGGAAAAATGCTGTGGCATTGTTAATGTCGGCTGGGTCATCGCCAAATACATAGCCAATAATACATTAACCGCTCTGAAAATAATAAGATATGTACAGCTGATATATGGCAGGCAGTTGCAGCTGACAAAATGGGCAGCCAGGCCATAAATCTGCCCATAGACAGGAGCCGCAAAATTCCGCCGTTTCCAAAGTGATTTTCTCGCACTTAATTTCAATGGTCCCGGCAGCCAACTTGATAAATTAACACTGTGCACATGCCATTTGTTTATTTGCCTAAATAAATCGCCAATCGAGTTCGAATTCGGATTCAAATGGTTGCAACAAAAAGTTGAAAAAAAAACGTTTCAAAATCTACCGCCTGCAAACCAATTTAAAATCACCTCACAATCAAATGGACATTTGGTGCGACCCGCAATTTATTGTGGCCGGAATCGGCGACTGTGACTGCAACTGCGACTCCCATGCCTGAGATTTAAGCGGGACTTAGTTTATTGGCCCACTAAAGCGACTGACCCACAACATTAAATTGTAATTTGAGTGGGCAAACATTTTAACTGCATTTCTTCGGCCAGCAGCCTGTTATTGATTGTTGTTATTGTTGTTGCAGCCGATGTTCATGTTCACGTGCTTGTTAGTCAGCCCCAAGTTAGGATAACTAAACTGGGATAATTAGAATGCTATTTGCATCTGTAGCTGTGACTTTTGACGCCCCAGTGCGGAATGCTTGACCAAACTGTGCCGCTATTAGTAGCCTCGGAGTTGTCCACAGCGAATTTGAAAGTACACTTGCGGAAAAAGCATACCACAATTTTCAATATAAAAATCCAATGATGACTGTTTCTTTTAATTCTATTGAATCGACTTCTCAATTTGGAGAAAAATCAAATGAGACCAACTGTACTCAAGTTATCGCGGAACTGTCATAATTTGAATATTATTCTCTAATCTAGGATTTTCAGCTTGGTCCGGATTTGAGTACAAAGCTCAAAACTTTTTTCAAAGTGTATGTGCATGCATGAAATTGGAACTGCTGTTTATGTTACTGGTTGATGTTTTGTGGTTACAGCTGGTGGCCGTGTCATTGACCATTTGCAATGCATGGAAATCGATTTGCGAGCAAACAATTGCATAATCGTTGATTATGAGTTCACATACACAGCACATACAGCATACAGAAAACGTCAGACGTCAGTCAGAGAACATATTCTAAGGCCGACTTTCATCAGTAACCATTAGGCACCAAAATGGCGCACAGCTGCTCGAACTCTAACTGCAACTTGGACTCCGAGTAGTATCTGAAATGCTGTGCATTTCAATTCGATTAGTGCGAAAATCAATCTGGTCGTCAGCGCATGTGGCAAACTTAACAGGCAGCTGCTGAGCTGTTGGGAACTGCTGAGGCTGCTCTGTGATTTAACGCATATTACACGTAATGCATTTTCCATGCTGCTTTCAGAAGAACCGCAAAAGCCACTCGATGCTAACTAACAATAATTTCTCAACTACCGACATTTGCAGATCACATGAGCGAACGATCCAATCAGTTTTTCTTTGTATACGCTTGCGGAGGGTATGCTAATTTTGTTTTCACGTTTGCAACGCATTAGAGGAGACGTCTCCGATCCCATTAAGTATATATATTCTTGATCAGCAACACTAGCCGAGTTGAAGTAGCCATACCTGTTTGCCTGTCTGTCTGAACTGTTTTAAAGTTATCCTGATGAGACTTGGTATATATCCGTCGGGCTAGCGTAACGAACTAATATATCATCCAGCTGTCATAGAAACAATCGGTCAAGAGATTTTTTCTTGTAAAATATATTTTACAGGGACATTCTGTCCAAATGCGAGTGACTAAATTTTCACATTTTGCAAACAATAATCATCATTGGCGGACAGCTATTGCATAGTTGCTATATATAACATTTATGTGACCAGTTCTAATACAATATAACAACTCAAATGAATATTCAGTTAGTAGCCAAACCTGAAGATTACAGATTAACTGCAATCTACAAAGGGTATGCAGTCTTCGGCTGGCCTAAGATAACCGTTCTATCTCGTTCTAAGTTAATTTGGGCCTTGGCTTTTGTGCGTGCGCTTACAAAGTGGCGTTATTGTGATTTGTTATCAACTGCTGCACAGGTTTTCCAATTAGACAGTTTCTTCTTTGCCACTGTGATGAGTTTTGCGTGAGAAATGCGAATTGAGAAATTCAAGGTTTGCAAATGTACGTACATTCGAGAGTCGATGACTTCCGTCAGTTTGGACCAAATCAATTGACAGCATGCACGGTTTGCACGGTAGCAAACTTCAATGGCAAAGTCGCAACATGCCGCAACGTGTAATTCATGAAAAATATGAAAAAAATAACCACCCAGATTGGTCCCCAAGGGCCGCCAAACAGAGCATAGTTGAGCTCCGCATAGAGCATTGATGACATTGGCCCCGGCCGAACATTGTCAAGCCAAGCACTTTATTTGCAGCGCGTTTGACATAAACATTTGCCCAGCGGACATCTGAATGGCCACGGCATCTCTTTCGGCTCCTTATAAGCGCCGCACGACACGCCAAGGAACAGCGCTGAACCGCTCCGGTTACCCCTCTCCTTAACTCCTCACAATTGCTTCAGCGAGCGTTAGTAATTTTTGAGATACGCATTGCAGAATTTATGTTATGCGTGCCACAGTCGGAGGCCGTTTCTATGGTCGTGCCAATGTCAAAACTCAAACACAAACACAACCACAACACACAAGCCCCAACCCAATGAAAAACAACAGTGACTTTCGCTGGGAGGCTCCTTTGGAACTAACATGGCTCCTCTGGAGGCCTCGGCCAGCAATGAGGCTTTGTCTAAATTTGGACGGTCATGTCGGGTGACAGCTTTTGACTTGGCAAGCTTTTAAATGTTTCTTGCATGTGGCAAGTGGCGCAGAGTTCAAAGCATCACATTCAGAGATAATATACAGCATTTCCTTTCAAATTTCTGACGGTCGTTAAAAGTCGTTGTCAAGCAAATAGTCAAACAGAAAATAATTATGAACAAATATTCAAGTGAATTTATATTTTTCATAAATATTTAATACTAAGAGTAAAAGTTCAAGAAGAGAAAGAGACACGGAAAGCAATTCTGTGGAGTGAGATTTAAGGATGTCGATTCTATATATATTTAAAATATTAAAGCATCTACGACAAATTTCATAAAATTTGGCAGAAATTAACATAAGTTTAGGTTAGGGCTGTCGATGGGTGGGGAAGAAACTTACCCGCCGACCCACTTGAGCCACAATTTGGCTCATTCTGTTGCCGTACGGACTATATACAATATATATGTTTGATTTATTTGTGTATATTTTTTGTACTGACTACTATAACTCTATCCAAGAATATCGTAATCACACACGAATAGAAATTTTCTGCTACCTTAACTTTATTCAATAAGCCCCATTTCGTCTTAGCCTGCTATTTAGATTGATGACTTTGATATAGATAACTTTTTCCCTTCCCATACAGTTCTAAATTAAAAGAAGTACTTGACGATTAATTACTAAAAACTATCATGGATCTAGCAGACAGTCCCAAATGGAAATTGAATCTTTGAGTTCGAATGGAATTCGCTCTCCACTTTGCATAATTAATAACATCAGCGCTTTAAGACTTCACATCATTTCCTACCTAAACTCAGCTCGTTGCCCTGGGAATACCCAGCTTAAGTCTTACACACTACTGTATCATATTCCAAATCACCTAGCTTTGAAATGATAGCTTTCGAGACCGCATCTCACACTCAATGCTATTAGATTGCTGATCAAAGGCGGCGTTCTCAGATAATGTTTGTAAGTAATTGCTATTTATCGCAGATCTATAAATATTTGCGCTTAAGTCAGCTGCAAATATTTGCTAAGAGCCAAAGGCTAAGTCCTTTCATTGATAAGTAGGTGAAATCAAAGTAAAATGAAGTTGTTTAACTGCAATTTGTAGTCCACATTTTACAGTCTCAATTAGTTTGTCACTTTTACTTGGCCAGCATTGAAGTGCAGTTGGTTTTCAGTTCAGTTTCACTCTCTCGTGCCAATTTTCCACCTGGTAAGTGTTTGCGCCCTATGTTCTTGATTGATTTGTATCAACGTTGATTAGGCCAAAACCAACAATCAGAGCCCACTTGAGGTCTTGGCCTTGTTAAAATCAGACAGCCGATTGAATTGACAGCTAAATTGGAGCAACAAAAAAGTAAAAAAGTAAAAGCCAAATGCAAATGTGTTTAATTTCTAATACGTTTATTTACTTTTATAGACGTTTTTCTTTTTATAGCATCTGAAGTTTGTCTCGTGTTACATTGCGTTACTAGGCCTAGGGTGTTGTGTATAAGTTTATGTTAAGTTTAAAGTTTATTTAGACAGTCAAACCTCTTAAATGAGACAGACAGCAGACAGATGCACTTCGGTTTCAGTTACAACAGCCTGCTCAGTTGAGAGGTTTGAATGGTTCTTCGCACTACGACTAAGGAGCTTTCTTTTTGAGTCTTAAGCTGATAGTATATGTCGACATATTCAGAGTAGTCTTAAGCAGTAAGTCTTATAGAGTTTTTAGCATATGTATGTATATGAGCATAAATATTAAGCTACAGTTCTTAATGCCCTACCAAAATGTGTGTATGTGTGTGTGTGTGCTTGTGTTTATGTGTATGTGTGTGTGTGTGTGTTCAGTCATTGCCACACATTTTCCATTGGCCATTTGGGAAGAGGGAGGTGATGGTGTTGGTGGTGTAGAGAAGTCCAGCTCTACGCTGCGCGCAATGACTTTGAAGATGCCACAACTGCCACAACGCCGCTTGCCACATTTGGAGGACCCATTTCGTTCGTACAGCTACTAACTAGATTATGAGCGTTGCTAAGTTTTTTTTTTCTGTTTTTCTTTCTTGGTTTTTCTTTTTTACTCGTTCAGCTAAAGAGAATTTCATGCTAGTTTCCGCAAAACACACATCCAGCCGCCAGTTTATCGCTTGTGTAACGCGCGCTTTTGCATGTTGTCCCAAACGGCAATCACCGTCAGTTGCAGCAGCAAGAACAGCGCCCCGGCAATTATGAAGCCTGCAAATATAGTTGTAAAACGCAAAATAGAGATAGGAAGAGAGAGAGGAGGATAAGAGTGAGATGAGGTAACATTTATGGGCTTATTTAATTAGCTGGTCAGCCAGCCAGTTAGTGCGGCTTTGCCTTTCTGCTTAGATCTCTCGACGGCACGCGATTAGCGTCATAAATTTTGGCGCACTTAAGCTGAGTGCACTTAAAAAAATATGCATTCACCACCATTCGAAAGCAGTTGATTTTTTTTTCAATTTACTTTAAGCATCTTTCTTATTTTGAACATTAAACGACTACGTTTATTTGCTTATTAAGAAATCCTTTTAGAAATATGCTTTTTGAATGTGTAAAGTAGAGCAAAGTATAAAGATATTTGTTTCCATGTCAGTTAAGGAAAGCGTTTCAACTTATAAGAAGTTTATCTGTCTTTTTTTGAGTGTACGAGTGTAGTGGATAGTTAAAAGACTTACCATAACCGTTTATGCAAGTGTCCGTTTTGTTGGCCAATTCCAATTGCAACTTGGCCAGTCCATCGTTGAGACCATCAGCACCAGCGTTCTGCGCATCGGCGCCATTGAAGGCAAACTTATCGGTGATTTGTATGGACTGCACAAGCAAAATGTTCTCATCGGTCGCCTGATGACTCACATCACGTTTTTGGCGTTGCAACTTAACAGCCATCTCAACTATAGAAAGGTAGCAAAAGAGGATAACAAGTGATGAAACGTTGTTAGACGCGATATGTGTGGGAGCCAATTGGTCAAAGTGATGGTGATGTCTAAAGCGGTGACTGTAACTCAAACTGTATGCTAATAAATGTTGTTGAACTCTTCATTTAGGTTTCTCAAAGTTCCCACCCAATTCATATTTATAAATCGTTAAGCTACACAAATTTAAATATATATTTTCACAAATTATACATTTTTTGTATTTTCTTTTTGATTTAGAATTAGACTATAAAGATCATTAAGAAATAAAAAACGAAAATAAAATATTCTTTGCCAAACATCAAGGAATTATAATCTTTCGAAGCGAAGCTCCTACACTTCTTGCTAAGGACCTCTCTTTTATCAGTTACATAAGCTACAAGGAAATATGTTATGTAGTTAAATTCCCATTACTTGATCACCTCGCGAATTTGCGCCATTGTGCTATAAGTGCCCAAAAGTCACAGTGATAAATCATGGGACAGTGATTGGGTTGATCAGCACTACCAGTAGTCGTACTACCAAAATGGAAACGTTTTACTTACCGCCATCGGTGCCATTGAAGACGGAACGCTTGCGACGGCCATAGGATAGGAGAGACTTGAGCTCACCGTTCTCATCGTTGTCGCAGATAACCGGTTCGCAGCGCGGTATGCAGGGCGTGACCAGGGCGCGGAATTGCACTAGCTCCGAGGAGGGAAACTTGAAGGCGTCGAATTGTGAGAGCAGCACCTTGCGGTTGCTGGCCATCTTTTGCATAGCACTCATAATATATTGATCCGTGGGACAGCCGTTGGCATCGATCAGCGTAATCTCGGCGCTGTCTGTGCCGTCCATGGCAACCAGTTCCCTCACAAAGATCTCATACGGACTGTTTGCATCGACGATCTCGAATCGCAGCGCCAGCGGATCACCGACCTCAGCAATGCGCTTCATATCGCTGCCATCGCGTGCGGTGATCTTCATTATCACATTCGGTGAGTCCACAATTATTTCCTCGCTCAAAGTAGACTCAATTTCGCCAGTGACGCCCAGATCAACATTATTCACAACTGTCTTGTTAGTCAAATCATATTGACAGCTAACGGCGAGTCCAAGATCGGAGGAGGTGACAATCATATCATGATGCTGGATGACAATATCATTCATATAACGACCATAGGCACTCTGGCGCACATTGCACTCAAGATCATTATAACGCATGCGCAGATCAAACTCCAACGAGTTGTTGACATTAACGGCACAAGATTTGGGTGCTCCCTTGGCATAGACTTTGCCATCGAACAGTTTGGAGGTGCGTATCTTGGTGATCATCTCACCGGAACGACAATCGATGGAGACATTGTAGCAAGCAGACTGCTCATAGGTGGCCGCCTCTTCGATGTTCAGATAGGGCTCAGAGAGATCACTCAATGTGGCGCGACTGTGATGGGAGAGACGGCAGACATGCTCACCGGTTTCATTATAATCGTAAGAGTGACAGCGGAAGGGGGCGGTTAAACAGAGGTCACGGCAATCGTCAATGCTCTGGACGTTCTGGTGCACAGAGTCGACGGTCTTTAAAATGCGTCCCGCGATGCGCTTGAACTCGCACAGTTTGCTTGGCTCCTCGGCGCAGTTATTTTCTAGATATTCGGCGCCATCGTATGCCAAAATGTTTGCCTCCTCCGACAGCGTAATGCGATCCATGTCCGACAGTTCACATAGGCCAGAGTGCGCATAAAAGTTGGCCGAACTGCAAACAGGCAACAGGCAACAGCAACAAGAATAAGAAAAAGAACACGAAGAAGACGAAGCAGATGAATGAGCTGCGAAATGGGCAAGCTGGCAAAGCTGGAATTCGTGTAACGGGACAAGCACTTACCGGCAGGTGAACTCCGTTTCGCCCAGACACAGCTCGATGCAGTCGCGTCGCGTGGCCACACTTTGGCTTGACTTGGCATGCTCGGGTAGACGGTAGCCCTGGACACGATCGATGCACCAGGCCTTCGAGCAGGGACGCACACCGAAGCACGATTTCTGTGCGTAGACCGTGAAAACGGGATACTGCGAGCGCGAAAGTGAACCTGCATTTAAGTAGAAGGCGTTGCCAACAAATACCAAAAACAAAACATATACAAAAAATAAAATAAAAATAGATATATAAATAAATAAAAGCCACAGGCCCACACACACAAAGAAGATGCAGACAGAAGAAAGAAGTATTACAAACCTGGCAGCTGATCGGCAGTGCTGCGGAACATAACGCACAGACCCGTCTCATAGTTAACCGCATTGCAAGATTCATTGGCCTGGCAGGCCTCCAAGCAGTCGGTCAGCATCAGTGTGCCAGGCAACGTCTCCAATTGCCTCGATGGCGCCGATAGCACGTACCTGTCGGCCATTTCGGGTTAGCACAAAATACACCACATTAATTTTACAACTGGTTTTTCTTTTTTGTTTTTAGTTTTTTGCTGGTTGACATTAAAGGAACTCGAAACAATAAATTGACAGTCAAGGTGGCGTCTTGCCAATTCTACGGGCTGTCCTCGCCGTTAGGCTTTAAAATTGTGCGAATAGGCGTGCCTTTAATTAATGTTCCTGTGCTACGCCTAATTGACACTAAACAAGTTACAGTTGCGATTTACAGTTGCGATTTACAGTTGTAATTTTCATACGCACATTTTTTTAAATTTTCACAAGTCTTTTTTTTTCTTTGCAATATATAAAGAACTATTGATCATAATATGCTATATTGAAAATATTATCACACATTTATTGTAATAATTTCTAAATCTTATATTCATTTCTACACAAATATTATAATCATTGTGTTGACTAAATTTTATGGATTCTTTGCAATGTCCATATTTTTAAGTATTTTTTCATTATATTCAATTAAAAATTTTCTTTTCATTTTATCAACATCAGTGGTAAAATCTTTCATTAGAGTCATATTAAAATTCATGAACTTAAATTATTCATAAGTTTACAAAACACTCTCATGTTTTATAACTGTTTTTATTTTTATTAATGATCAAATTTATTAATCAGCTGGAATTTGTACCTTAAGCTCAAATGGCTTGTGCGGCATATTCTTTGAAGATGTTGTAAAGTGAAAATACTTTTGTTTTGGATAATGGACATTGTGTTGTTAAAAAGAGTTGAAGTGGTGCGACAGGTTTGTTCATAACAAATTAATTTGAATACAAAAATGTATACTTTTAATTGAGTTGAATCTTGTAAATCATTGCATAAGACAAAAGATAATTCGTTTAAAAAGTATGCTTAGATTCCTGAAGCCGAAATTATGAAATCCCAAATTTTTTTTTATTACAAATGAATCTGAGTAAATGCAGCACTCAATACGTGTGCATCATGTGATATAATGCATAATTCTAATATACACACAACATATATATGTCAAAGTTGAAGTTTTCAATCGATTACAATTCATGCAATCAATTCAAATTCTTGCTAACTCCTCAAACATGTTTACGATGCTCAAGCAGGTGTCTGTTTAATTAATGACTCTATGCGACTTTGGCAATGTTCCTGCTTCGCAAATAATTGCCACAAATAAGGCGACATATGTATATAGATATATGTATATATATACAGGTATAGTGTCTAGTGTAAGAGCTGATCACCTACCCAGTTATAAGCTCAAAGCCAATCATATCCGGCTCGCAGTCTTCGTCGATCTGGCTGGTGCCCAGAGGCGCAGCGGTTGCGTTGCTGAGATCATCGATTTTGCTCTCGCCATTGACAGGTGTTGCTCCAGGTTCCGCTAGAGCAGCTTCCGCTGGCGATGCCGATGCCGGCTGCTGCTGCTGTTGTTGTTCGCTCGCATGTGGTGTCAACGGTTTTGGTAGCTCGCTTCCGCTCAAAGAGTCTGCGGCCGCAAGTGCTGCGGCTGCTGCAATTGTCGGCGTTGCGTTGTTGCGCGGAAATGTCTTCAACGGTTTTGCCGGCCGCTTGGGTAGCTTGCGGGCTGAGGCGGCATTGTCCACCAGCAGCAGTCCGACCAGTAGCACCAGATACAACATTGTTGTTGTTGATGTTGTTGTTGTTGCTGCTGTTGCCTTCGTCATCATGGTGACTCGACCGTTTCGCTTTGTTGTTGTCAATGACCGTAGCTGCATTTTTTATTGCTGCTGTTGTTGCTAGCTGTAAGATGGCAAAAATGATTTGGTAACTTGGTGTTTTTGTTTTTTTAATTAGCATTTCAGTTTTTCTTCAATTCTGCATGCTTATCTAATGATTAATTGCCAGCTACAGTTACAGGTAAACCTTAATAATGGGTCTAATGGATTTAATAGGCAGCCCCAAGCTTTGAGATCCAGCTTCAGTTACACTCCCAGCCCAACAGAGCAACGCCCACTGGCACGAAGTGTCTGTGATTAATTGTGCAGAAATTACGAAACCACTGAGCTCGCCTGATGCAAAATCAATTTTCTTGATGATGAGACGCAGTTGGTGCACGCACACCCAAGACCATTCAAAGACCGACTCTTGGCAACAACAACAACAACAACGGCACCCGAAGCTTGCATACCCTTTGCAGAACAAAGTCCAACTGCTCACCACTAAATTTATTCGTTAATTAAAAACTAATTATTTTCTTCACGTTATGTACGAATTTTAAAAGCATAAAAACACTCGTATCTACAATGTTCTCTCTGAATATCTTGACAATCGAAAATTACAAAACTTCTTCCTGTACGTAGCTTTTGATGCTGATCTGGTATACATATATGTATATTCGTATAAATTCTTCACTTCACGACAAATTCATAATATAGTCTGCACACGAAACTTGAGTTAGTTCAGGTTTCGAAATAATGCCGAATAATTGCAATTGCACCTATATGATCATGAGATGAATACTTTCCTACTTGAATTTTTTGTTAGTGGCTTTTGCGGTTTTTAACGGAAAGCGGCATGTAAAATGCATTAAGTGTAATATGCGTTAAATCACAGAGCAGCAACTCAACAGCGGCCCGTTAAGTCTGCCAAATGTGCTGACGACCAGATTGATTTTCGTACTAATCGACTTGGACATGGACAACACTTGAGATACTACTAAGAGTCCAAGTTGCAGTTAGAGATGGCTAGTGGTTAATGATGACAGTCGGTCTCAGAATATGTTCTCTGTCTGGCGTCTACTCATCGATTATGCAATTGTTTCCACGCAAATCGATTTTCATGCATTCTAAATGGTCAATGACATGGCCAACAAATCTAATCACAAAACAGCAGCTAGCAACTCAAACAGCAATTCCAATTACATTACATTACTATATGCCCAAAAGCGATATTTTACTTAAGAACGCATCCTAACTCCGTATTTGATGTCCCATTAACAGTAAATTTCGAAGTCACAAATCTAATTTAAACTTATTGAAGAGTATCATTCTTGAAATTTTCAGAATAAAACAGTACTTTTTACTTGACTGTCTGTAAACCACACTGTGCTGTCAAAAGTTGCAGATTTAGATGCCAATACTGAATTCTAATTAAGTCGAACTCCAACTTGAACCTGACTTATATTCACATGAACAAGTTCTCAGTAGTAGGATAGCTAAAAGAAAAAAAAAGAAACTGCAGATCAAAATATGTTTACCCACTCAAATTACAATTGAACGTTGTGGGTCAGTCGCTTTAGTGGGCCAATAAACTAAATCCACAACCCGATGTAGAAGACAAACGTAGTAATCGCGGTCAGTTGCAAGGCACATAAATTTCCATTTGGCATTGCTGCTGAAGCCTGTTGCTGTTGCAGCTTCTGCTGCTTGAGAGGACACTGCCAGCATTTGAATTCAAGTTCGCTTGCAGATTTATTCATGTATTTACATGTATGTACATGTATGGATGGTGTGTACATTTATTTGTCGGGGGGAATGGGGCAAAATCGATTTTGACGACAAACTTGTTTCGCTTGGATGTTTTCATTCTCTTTTTTATTGTGTACTATTTACGTTTAAAATTGACAGCTTGTTGAGTGTCTTGTTTTATTATTATTATTATATTATTTATTGCCAGGCAAATGTAGAGCCATTGTGAGTACCGTTCGTGAAGCTTTTTTTTATAAGACTAATACGCTGAATCAGCATCGGTAGCAATTCTGGCTAATCTTAAAGAGTAGAGTGTCAGGTGTCGAAGCTGACACCAATACAAACTTGTCTCCCAGTGAACCAGTGAATGGCGGACAGAAGCTCATATTATTTCTTGATTAAAATTGCAAGTAATCAAAAAATATTCTCATTTTCCACTGAAGCAAAAACTGTGCCAGGTTGTTGCACTCGCGGAATCGGCTGGAAAACGCACTCAGTGAAAACCGCTGTTCTTAATTTAAGTACACTGAACACAGAATGTAAAATAATAATTATTCGTGATTGTAAAATCGACGACAATTCTTGAATAAAGTAGAAAATATTCACTGACGAGAATTTTTGGGCTTCAGTTGCGTAAAAAGTTCTAGTTCAGTTTTAAATTTATTCATTTTAGAATTATGCAAATTGTTTATGAATAAGCAATATTTGAGACCTTGATAGTGTTTGCACTTAAGTACAACCTGCTTAACTTTTTCTGCGAGTGCAGCAATGAATGAATGACATAACAGCCGAGTCGCGAGTCGAGAGTCGGAGGCAAGCGCGAACGCGGGCTCTTATCTCAATTGAGGCGCGAGTCATTGTAACTGTAAGCAATGTGCAAGCCATGCCATGCCAGTCAGGCAGGCACGAATAGCTGTGGCTTTAGCTATGCCGCCTGCTTGTGGCCTGGCTATCTTCATTCCACATTGCCTGCCTGGCTTGCACGGGCAATTTGAGAGTGCACCCGCAGGCCATTCGCACAGGAGCTACTTGCTGACCCACATTGTCAGCTATGCCAAAGTTATTTTTATTGAAAATTTAGCAATTTGAGCCAATTTCTACATGAAATATCTATAAATATACAGATGTGTGTGTATGTGTGTGCGGGCATTTTGCCATGCGACAAATGCACAACTAATAGCCCAATGCAGTGAAATTGTGCACATTTCAAACACAAAAGACTTAGGCGACAAACGTGTTCAAGCTCACGAATAAAAACAATTTATTTTTGGACTATCAGCTTAGCTTCTAATTTGACAAGTTAAACCTAACGGCAAATAAGGTGTCCAATTTGAAAGCGATAGCTAGACAACAACCGAGAAATGTAATCTATAAAATGAAAACATGATTTTTCGGATCACGCTTCAGTTTGAAATGCTACCGCAGTCGAGAGATCTAACTGTGAACGAATTTGGATAGTGAAAATCTACAAAAAAAAACTTGAGCTGCTTTTAGCATAATAATGAACTTGAGGCTAGTTTCGAGTTTATATATTCTTTTCTTTTTTTTTTTGTATAGCTTCTAATGTGGTAATAGTCATAAGGTGAAGAAATAATGTTGACTTATATATCACTTCTATTTCAGTTTGTAGTCTATTGATGAGCTGCACGTAGCAAACAAATTTGTCAGCAAGAAGATAAAGACTGAAGTGAGAAATGTTCAATATATGCAAATATGAAAGACTGCTTTTCAAACTTACTTTAAAACGGTTAACAAAACATTTATAACCGCAGGAAACGCTTTTCTTTGTCTGCTCAACTGCAGCGAAAGTTGTTGTATAGAATCTCAAAAAGACTTAAACTGTTGTTTAGCCAGCCAGATTATCGCGCTGTGTGCGGCTAATTGTCTTCAATTGTATCATAACCGTTGCTTGACCCGACCAACCGAGCCCAACTGACCCAAATCAGCGAATGGTCAGCAATCCCAAATGGAATGCGCAATGAATAATTTTTTTCATTCTTGGTGACTGCGTGTGGCTGACAACCGGCAAAACTTAATTGCCTCTGAAATTCTGCACATTTGGGAAATGTTTCGTCAGCAGTGTCTTGGATAGATGACAAAAAAAAAAGAAGATTTTCCGTTTAGTTTTTCGCTCACACGATTTTGCTAACGGTTCACATTGACTCGTTTCAACTGGAGGATGACTTGGCTTGTTGTTATTTGACTGACTGTCTGCTGGACTGACGGACTGACGGACTGTCGGCCTGGCGATACATGCAGGCGCAATTCTAGTCTATTCGCCTTGGCATTTACCCCAGGCTTTCTCTAATGGCTGGTCGATTGACCATTTTCGTTTAATTGACGGACATGTGGACACATCCTGTTGAGATCTTTTCGGTTCAAAGCATTGACACCTTGTCATCTGTAGATGGCACGAATATGATACCAAATGTTGCAGAAGCACAGTATCGAATTTAATGTTGACTTTTTTAAACATTTTTTGTTTCAGATTTGATTACCTTTGTTTTGTTTAGTTTTGTAACAATTTAATCCTTTACTTGCTTTATTTGCACTTTAGCAAATAATTTTGATTTATTTTTTATTTAAACTTGTTGCTTAAATAATTGATTTAAATACACAATGCACGCAGGCAGGACACACACAAAAATTGTTTTTCGTTTTCAAATTTGTATTTTGAGGAACGCAAATTGAAAAAATTATTTGACCGATGGACCGTCTGCACTCTAGAAAGTGGAGCGCCTAACTGCCGCGTATACAACACATCAATAGGTTCTTATGTGAGCGGCTTCTCAACGCAGAATTACAGATGCTGGGAAAAATGGAATTGAAATGCTCTCCAAAGTTCGTTAGCTTCTATGACTCGGGGACGACCGCGACTGCGACTGCCAGTTCGAGCACCTTGACACTGAATGTTCGCTTCGAAGGCCGCGGAAAACTTTACAAGTTGGTAGCCAGCAGAAGCAGAAGCAGAAGCAGCAGCAGCAGCTACAACTAACTAACGTTTTGTGGCTGCTCTCTCTGCAGTCACGCAAACCGGTAAAAACCACCGGCCAGAAAGCTAATGGTACGCGCTCTTCACTAACGTCTCTCTCTCTCTCTCTCTCGCTCTTCTCCAGCCGTACTCTTTGCTGCCACTTTCTTCGAAGCTGCAAAGCTTTTCTCTCTCTTTGTCTCCCTCTCTCACTGCCTAAGATTGTAACGGACAACCTGTCGGAAGCAATAAAATGCAATTATAGCAGTCGAGCTAAATGATTTTCTAATGCGATTCCATTGCACGCAGTTTCAGGCTTAGCT